TCCCACTTCAGCGTGGCTAGTCTAAGAGATTGCATTCAATAAAAAATCATGCACAATTCTTTGCATACGCCCAAATCCTTCACGATTTTCCCCTTTACGCAAAAGTGTGGGTCCAGGAAGAGTGCGAGAAGATCCCTGCAAAGGTTTGCACTAACCTCATAGATAACATGCCTAGGAGGGTGCCGGTGGTGATCAAGGCCAAGGATCGGTGGACTAGGTACTAGAAACGTTGTTCGGAAGTTTGCTCTTTGTCTTGGGAAACAATTGTCCGAATGTACTTTTGTATATCTTTGGGCACTAAATTAGATCGAAAGAAATCTTATGGATTTTAGCGCTGTAAACACATCCACTATGTGCCCCTCCCAAAGCGTACCACCATTAAACATAAGACTTTATGTAGGGTGGTCGAAAATCCCAAAAACCCTAGGTAATGCAGAACATCTGAACAATTGTTTCCGTCACAGTAATTGCCACGCGCCTTCCGGACCGCCTTGCCACTGCCTGCGACCACTTCCTTAGTCAGCACCCAGGTGACCTCACCCTTCCTGCATTTGTCACTGCCCTATCCGCGATAGAGACCCGCCAGCGCACTATTGCTCAGTCTAGCGGTACTGCGGCAGCCCCTATCATCCAGGCTGTGCTCCCTCTCAGTGCACTTACTCTGATGTCTCTGCCACTGTTGCTGAGACAGCCCCTACTGCTGAGACCGCTGCAGCAGCCTCGGTGCAGGCTCGTCAGGGTAGGGGACGTCGGGCTGGGGGGGGGGGGGGGGGGGTTGGCGGCAGGAGGGGTGGTAGGGGTGGCGGAGGTGGCGGAGGTTGTGGCAGTGGTGGAGGGGACGGTGGTGCAGATGAAGGGACCGGGGCTGATGCTCTGGTGCCAGCAGCAGCAGCAGCAGCAGCAGCCCCATCAATAGCAGCAGTCGCAGGAGCAGCAGCAGCCGCCGTGGGGACCCCGTCCATCGCGGTGGCTAGGCGGCGCTGGTGGTGGTCGTCGTGGTGGTGCGCCGCGCGACTCGGTGTCAGGTGGCGGCTCCAGTGTGGTCACCTGCCAGTACCAGCTTCAGTTCGGCCCCCGCCGCGGCACCGTCTGCGACTGTCCCGATCGCACCGCCTCCCGCTGCTACCGCCGCCTCGACGACCTCTTCCGTCTCCGCTTCAGCCCCGCGTCTGACCCCCCCGACTGGTACAGCCTGGTGCGTCGCCGTGTGCCTGTCTTTGAGTTGGATATGGATCAGATTAGGTCTGCTACGAATGTCATGTATGCTGATGAATCTAGTGTGACTCGACCCTATTACCCTGTGTTGCCTAGTATAGGTGTGTCCACTGTATGTAGCCTAGGTTCCCCTGCTGCGTCAGGTGTAGGACTGCCTTGTTTAGCCTAGGCTCCACTATAGCTCCTCCGCCTTCGGACGCCACCGCCGCGCTCTCTTTCACACTAGACTCGGATGCGTCTGCCTGCTTCTTTCACGACGACACTGCGCTACCACTGCTTGCCGTCCTTGCCGCTGTAGTGCTTGCTGACCCCTCCTCATGTCTGGTAGTTGCACGTAGCTCCACTACCCTTCCCTATCCGGCAGTTTCCTCGGGCTCCCTTACAAGCTTGCACATCCCCTCATTCTCCAAGAACCTAGTTGGTGTCGGCTGTCTTCAGGACCTCAGCATCACCTCTACGTTTCCTGGACACGAGCGGTACGCAGTCTGCACGGAGGCCGCAACTGGTGCCCATCTCACCACGTTCTCCCGAGACCCGGTGTCTGGCCTGTTTACTCTAGACACAGCGTCCCCCCCAGTGGGAGCATCCCCCCAGGTGGTCGCGCCCTCCGAGGTCGCTGCGGCTTGCTCGTGTTGGTCGCTCACCCACCCGTCGCTGCTTTGGCACCACCGCTTAGGACACCCCGCACTCCCACGTCTGCGTCACATGTCCCAGCATGGTCTTGTCTTAGGTCTCCCTGCACCGCTCCCTCCCCTCCCTCTCTCGCCTGCGCCGCCATGCACGCTCTGCATCGAGGGACGGCTGCGCCGTGCCCCTCACTCCTCCTCGCTTCCCCCTACCACTGCGCCACTCCAGACCCTGCACCTGGACGTTTGGGGCCCAGCCCCCGTCCCTGGGCCGCGTCGAGAGCGCTACTTTCTAGTGCTCGTCGTCGGCTACACGCGCTACACCACGGTGCTTCCTTTGGAGCGGAAGGCTGATGTGCCTGACGTTCTTATCTTGTGGGTCGTAGCTGCGCAAGTCCACCGTGGCCTCCTTGTGCTGCATCTTCACTCCGACCATGGTGGCGAGTTCGCCTCCGGTCGGCTTGGCCAGTTTTGTCATGCGGAGGGCATCACCCAGTCGTACACCCTGCCAGACTCCCCGCAGCAAAATGGGGTAGCTGAGCGATGCATCTGTTTGGTCATGGAAGTGGCTCGTACCTCCATGATCCATGCTGGTGCACCCCATTTTTAGTGGACATTCATTGTTCGCTATGCCGCTCACCAGCATAACCCGTGGCCACACTCCTAGCGGTCGCAGGTTTCGCCGACCTTCCTTTGGACTGGGTCCCCTGGTGATATGTTTGCGTTCCACGTCTGGGGCTGCCTCCCTCACGTTCGTGCCTCTGGCATGGACAAGCTCACTGCCTGTACTGTCCTCTGTGGCTTCCCCCTAGACGCGTCTGACTGGCACTTTTACCACCCGCCATCTCACCATTTCTTTCACTCTTGCGACGACACTTTTGACGAGTCTGTCTGCTTCTACACCCGCTTTCTTTACCGAGGTCTCCTCCCTGTTCCTGGTCCGCACTCCCCCAGTAGCACCTGCTCCTCTCCCTCCCCATCACTCATCGGGTGTGTCTCACGTAACTCACCTCCTGTCGGTCGTCCCGGTGGAGGAGTCGGCTGACTCTGGGGGCTTTGCGGCTCAGGGTTCGCCGCCTGTCTCTGGCCCGGTTTCTCGTCCTCCGCCAACGCAGCCGCAGTCGCCGCCGCCGCAGCAGCAGCCGCCGTCATCGCTGCCGCAGCAGCAGCCGTCGCCGCAGCAGCAGCCGCCGCCGCCGCAGGGGTTTGAGAGCTCTAGGGGTGCGGGCGTTGAGGAGGTTGCTTGTTCTGGGGGTGCTGGTTCTAGGGGTGCCCGTCCCAGGGGTAATGCCATGACTTGTCCCTGCAGTCCTTGGGTGGCACGGGTGCTGAAGAGGTTTCTCGCTCTGGGGGTGTTGGCGTGGAGTGTCCCGGAGGTAGCCGTGGTGCAACTGGAGGTTCTGGTATCGGCATGGAGCAGCAGCAGCAGCAGTCGTCACCGGTGTCCACCCTTCGCTTCCTCGGTCTTCCTTTCCCCGACCGCCCGCCTACGCCTCCCCCGCTGCCGCCTCTCCCGCTTGTCTCCGGCCCTGTGTTTCATCATCTGGACTCATCCCCAGCTCGTTTCGCCCCTCGTTCTCCTGCCGTGTCTCCTCCCTTGTCTCCTGACCCAACCCCCCCCCTCCCGCTGGTGGCCTCTCGTGCTCGTCATGTCTCTCCTATTCAGTTCGCTCACCCTATATTGCTCCGTTCTCATGCATCTCGTGCTCCCCTTCTACCGTCACCTCCTTTGTCGTCGCTTGTTCTCCCCCCTCCTCCTCTCTCTGACTTCCTCCGTGCCATAAGTCTGCTTGTCCCTTGCATTCCCGCTTCTCTTATAACTGACCCGTCTGTTCCTGTCTCCAGTCTTGATACTCTTGTCGTTGCCTTCGCCACTCTGGTTTTTGACCCTGCCCGTCCTCCGGTCGTCGGGATGCACCTGCCCTTGGCAGTGACGTTCTAGAGGACAGGCAATACGAGCTCGCTTTCCTGTCCGAGGCCACTCCACATCTCTGCTCCAAGCTGCTAGTCCCTGAGGGTGAGCTAGACGCCCTTGACATCCCGACCCCTCGCACTTACGCTGAGGCGACCTTGGGGCCGTGGGCCTCTCAGTAGATAGCTGCCATGGACGCGGAGATGGCATCTTGGAGATCCACCGCCACCTACGTCGACGTAGTTCCCCAACCTGGGGTGAACGTAGTCGATGGTCGGTGGCTCTTTAAGGTGAAGCGCCCTCCTGGAGAGCCGCCGGTATTCTAGGCACGCTACGTTGCAAGGGGCTTCAGTCAGCGCGAGGGTGTTGACTTCTTTCAGACCTTCGCTCCGACCCCGAAGATGACCACTCTTCGGGCGCTGCTACACATAGCAGTACACCATGAATATGAGCTGCACTCCCTCGACTTCTCCACAGCGTTTCTCCAGGACAGTCTGCACGACCAGGTCTACCTGCGCCGTCTGCCCGACTTCACCGGCACCTTCGCCCCTGGTACCGAGTGGCTCCTCCGGTGCCCGGTTTACGGCGCGCGGTAGGCACCCCGTAAGCGGCACAACACGCTGCGTGCTACGTTAGCTGACCTGCAATTCTTCCTGCCATCTGCAGACCCCTCGCTCTTCGTTTGTTCTGGCCAGACCCCGTTCTACATCCTTGTCTACGTGGATGACCTGGTCTTCGCCACTGCAGACACAGACGCACTGGCCTCCCAAAAAGGCTGAGCTGCTGAGGAGACACATCTTCACTGACCTAGGAGAGCTGCTCAGGTACCTTGGCCTGCAGATCTCCAGGGACAGAGCAGCGCGCAACATCACTCTCACACTTGGTGCGCCAGGTCCTTAAGAGGTTCGGTCTTCAGTTCACCTCCGCGCAACCCACACCTCTGCTAGTAGATCACAGGCTCTCGGCTCTAGTCCCTGAGGAGTGTGTATATCCTAGTGATCCTTACGCAAAGCTGGTGGGTTGCCTCATGTACCTGATGATTTGCACTCGTCCAGATCTTGCATACCCTCTCAGCATCCTGGTTCGCTTTGTGGCCACAGGTAGACACCGACCACAGCACTGGTCGGTCGCTAAGAGGGTTTTGCGTTATCTAGCAAGTACGTTGGGCATGGGGCTAGTGCTAGAAGGACGTAGGCCAGGGGTTCTTATATGGCACACAGATGCTTCGTGGGCAAACGACGCTGAGACACTTAGGTCCTCCCATGGCTACTGCTTTAGCCTTGGTGCAGGCGCCATCTCGTGGAGGTCCACTCGCTCATCGTCTGTTGCCTAGTCTAGCTATGAGGCTGAGATCTACGCTGGTGCCATGGCGGCACAGCAGCTCCGCTGGCTGACTTTCTTGCTTACAGACTTAGGTGAGCAGTCTAGCTATGCCCCGATCCTGTACGCTGACAACAGGGCCATGATCCTCATTTGTCAGGAGCCTCGACTGGAGGGCAGAGCGAAGCATATCCAGCTACGGTACTTTCTCCTGCGCGAGCTACAGTAGCGCTGCCAGGCCCGCGTAGTTCACTTGGCCTCCGGTGCCAACACAGCTGATATCTTTACGAAGGCTTAGGGTTTAGGGTATACAGCTTGCGCCTAAAGATCATCAGCGACAGTGTATACAGCTTGGTCTATTTCCTGTAGCTTCTCGCTTGCTTGGAACTTGAGTGTGTATTATATGTTACATTACCTTGACTTGCTTTGTGGCTCCTGTTCCAGTGGCTAGACTAGTAATGCCGCCTTGGGTTACTCGTGTTTCCTTTGTACTCTTGGTGATTGGTCTTCAGACCCTTGCCTCAGAGGTTGGACTAGTAGTGCCACCCTGAGCTGCATGTCTCTTGCTAGTCGTTGCCCCTTTTCTAGCCTAGGGGGTGTGTCAACATATATTTGTATTTGTTATAGGCTAGATAGGTGCATGCTCATAGAGAGTACAACTCTTTAGGACAAAACCAACCTGTATCACTCATTCTAGCTCAATTACGTTATTGTGAGACCTTTGATGGGCTCAACTGTTCAGTATGGGCAACCTTGTTTTATTCAGGCCGGCTCTCTTAACCGTGGCAACAATGAATCTTGACTGATATAATTCGCGGTCCATGCGGGCACGAAAAAAAGTTCGACCTACGTTTGGCCAAGATGTCA